AATTCCTAGAGGAATCGTTCGGGAGAACAAAACAAAAGTCCGTCTTTTCTTATTCAAAAAAAAAAAAAAAAAAAAAAAAAAAAAATCCATTGTTTTGTCCCCCAGAACAATTCATCTTAGGGACTCAGTGTAAGGGGTTTATAACCCAATGATTCAGGAAGATTTTTGAAGATGTTCTGAAGACGCGATAGCATTCTTTTGGACTGTACTAAAAAACGGCGGTGCAAGTAGGGAAGCTATAGGACTTATTTATAATAGGTAAAATYTTATATTCCTGCCTGCAGGAAGTATGTCATCTGACTTGTAAAGGTTCTTATTCGTTTATAAAGCCTTGTTGGACGGATCGTACGCAGTGTTGTTTCAAGAGGGCTGTCTGCCTCTTCTTCTGAATCTTCAGAGTCACTATATCACTGCCAGTGCTAAAGCAGTCTACCTGTTCGTTTTTAGGTGTCACTGCCATCCTCATTTGAATTAGGGGGCTCATCATCTTTGCTTACAACATTTTCTATGCCTTTCATTGAATAGAAATTAAGTTGAGAGGCAAAGAGCCTGCCATATCTATGGTGCTATTTTGTCCTTACCATGCATTTTAGCCCACACCTTAATTTCAGACCATCATGTATCTTAATATCATCGTGTTTCATATACATCATACATAATCACATTATCGTCATCAACATACATTATGTGACGTCAGTGTCATCTTCCAGATTTAGTGCAGTCGAGGTAAAACACTTCCAGAGCCAAATGCTCAAATCCTCTCCGTGTACTCGAATCCTCTATGCCACACATTCTAAGAATATTGCTCGCTATCTGGGTTGTTGAATAATTCCAATTTAAAGCTAGTTTGAGTCGAAAAGTACTTAACTTCCACAACAACAGTACGGGTCGTGTACGAGGACTCTGCTTCTAATCAGAACAGTGTCTARTCATGTAAAGGTATACGCATGCTCTGTAGAGTCTTATGGCTTGACTGCTGTACACGAATATCGTTGATACTTGATTGGCCATGYTTACAAAATACTTATCCCATTACTACTTCGGATATTTTCCCCCATTCCCAGCGACCTAAATCCCATTTCCCCAAAGCAAAAACAGGCCAATCCCAGTTCCCATTTTACCCCTTCACAACCCTCTTATATTWACCTGTAGTTGCATATAACAGCATAAGACGTAAATTGTGACCTATATGAGCACGCCGGATTTATCATATTCATTATTGTGTAAAAATACTAATGATTATTATTTCAAAACGCTTTCAGGGTCCGATCGTATAAAGGGTGGACAGCGCTGTTCAATGGAAAATCTTGTCTATAGTGGATCAATAATTGGATAACAACATTAACTTATCCACTAGATAAGGATTTATCCGCCAAATAGGACTAGTTTTCGTTTGAATTAAGTGTTTTTCCGGTAAAGAAACACATAGGTCCTTCTTTGGTATAGATATAGACAAACTACTTGCAGTATTTTTTTCCATGAAGTTTTTATTATTTGCCATGGAATTCATTTTAATGTCATGATTCTAATGAATAATATCTTTAGTCCAATTAGAGGTGCCATACACGTCACSTTCATAGGCCCGATAAAAGAAGGTTATAGAAGCTCATGAGACTCCTTATGACCCTCATAAACGATAGCTATAGCCTAAACTGGCAGCCAGCAATCAGTCTCGTCAACTAGTGCACCTGTTTGAGGACAGGGAAGAATGTTCACCTTCACCTTTCAACACTTCAGATAATAACTATTTATTTCAGTTATCAGTCAGGCAAGTTCTACTAAGGCAAGATTATAGTAATGCTTTACAAGAGTTGTGTTCAGGGGCGTAACCAGGGATCTTGCAGGGGAGGTACACAGGCAATGATTTGCAGAACCAAAAAAAAAA